CTGTAAAAACCAGCAAGGATAGTGGCTCAGTGAGATGGAGGCTGCTGGAGTCCCAGGCAGTTCTTAAAGGGCCTATGCACAAACTTACACAGACTCACTTCCTCTGAGCTCTAGCGCTGGAGCAGCACCTTTAAAGGATCAGGGACATACGAGGAGGAACTAAATTGTCTGGCATCCGGTAGGAGCTACTGGGGCAGCTTTCTCCCAGACAAAAGTGCTCGCAGAGGTCATTTTCCCAATACCCCAACTGACAGGTGGGTACCATATCTCAGTCTCCATCAACCTGGCTCACACTGTTTGCCTTGCTCTGGTGATTCCCCGAGACCTTACCCCTGTCCAACTTGCTAACTCATGCAAGTTGTTTCCAGTGACTTTTCCATACAACTGGCCTCTCTTGCCTCATGCTTCAGAATTTCCTAAAATCTCTCAGACAAGCAGCAACCAATATCAGCATACCCTGTACCTCTCAATAAGTGGCCCCAGGTCTGGCACTAGTGGCAGCCCTCTTTTGGTTCAGATCTTGACCTCTGCTGGGCAACGCCAAGCCCAACACAAGTAGCAGCCATCTGCAGATCTCTCTGTAGCTTGTGACAGGTGGCCCCAGGCAGGACCCAGGCAGTGGCTGACTTTGCACCGCCCAGTAGGCCCCAAACCAGTCCATCCAGAGGACAGCATCAGACCAGGCCAGATTACACCTCTACCACATCCACTGGTGACACACCCAAGGGGCAGACTAGGTGAGCACCAAAGCCCCACTGAAGCAAGTCTTGCTCCATAGGGTAGACTCCTGCATAGCAGCTCTTCAGCTATAATCACAATTGGTCCTCACAGCCAATTGGCCTGGGGGTCAATTCCTTTCAGAGATACCAACATCAAAGAACACTCAACTACAAAAGGACAATGCACACAGTCCACACAGGGGTGCACCTGGAGCACCCAGCTGGGCCACAGAATCCTATGAGACAACTACTACACAAGGCCACGTTACCAAGTCCGAGAGACACAGCTCTACCGAATACATAGAAACAAACACAAGGAAGTGGAAAAAATGCAGAGACAAAGAAACATATTGTAAAAGAAAGAACAGGAGAAACCTCCAGAAAAAGAATGAAATGAAATGTAAGCAAGCAAACTAACAGATACAGAGTCAAAACAATGTTTATAAGGATGCTCAAAGAACTTAGTGAGAACTTCAACAGCATGAAGAAGGTCTTAGGAAGTATAAAAAAGAACCAGTCAGAAATGAAGGATTCACTAACTGAAATGAATAATAATTTACAGGGCATCAACAGTAGAGTAGTGGAGAATCAAGTCAAGAAATTGGAATATAAGGAAGCAAAAAACAAAGAATCCGAACAGCATAAAGAAAAAGGAATCCAAAAATATGAAGATAGTGTAAGGAGCCTCTGGTACAACTTCAAGCATACCAACATTCGCATCATAGGGTCATGGGAAGGAGGGGAGCAAGAAATCAAAATTTGAAAAAATAATGACAGAAAATTTCCCTTACCTGGTAAAAGAAATAGACACACAAGTCCAGGAAGTGCAGAGAGTCCCAAACAAGATAAACCCAAAAAGGCCCACACCAGGACACATTATAATTAAAATGCCAAAGGTTAAAGGCAAAGAGAGAATCTTAAAAGCAGCAATAGAAAAGCAGTTAGTTACCTACAAGGGAACGCCCATATGACTGTCAGCTGATTTCTCAACAGAAACTTTGCAGGCCAGAATAGAGTGGCAAGAAATATTCAAAGTGATTAAAACGAAGGACCTACAAGCAAGATTATTCTACTCAGCAAAGCTATCATTTAGAATTCAAAGTCAGATAAACAGCTTCCCAGACAAGGAAAAGCTAAAGAAGTTTACCAGTACTACATGAAATGTTAAATAATCTAAATAAAAACAATAAAATAGCAATAAGTGCATATCAACAATTGAATCTAAAAATCAAAGTAAAGGAACAAGCAGAACAGAAGCAGATTCATAGATACAGAGAACATTTTGACAGTTGCCAGATGGAAGGGGGATTTGAGGATGGTTAAGAAAGGTGAAGAGTTTTAGAAGTTCAAATTAGTACTTACAGTCTTGGGTATAAAGTACAGTATAGGGAATACAGTCAATAATATGCTAATAACTATGCCCTAGCCAGTGTTGCTCAGTGGATAGAGCACTCGCCCGCCGACTGAAGGGTCCCGGGTTCAATTCCAGTCAAGGGCACATACCTTGGTTGCAGGTTCCCTGGCCCTGGTCAGGGTACGTGTAGGAGGTAACCAATCGATGTGTCTCTCTCACATTGATGTTTCTCTCTGTCTCTCCCTTTCCCTTCCACTCTCTCTAAAAATAATAGAAAAATATCCTTGGGTAAGGATTAACAATAACAAAAAAATAAAATAAAAATAATATTCTAGTAACTATGTATGATGTCAGATGGTTATATTTTTTGGGATGAGCACTCAGTAAGTTTTATAATGTCTAATCACTGTCATGTACACCTGAAACCAATATAATATTGTATGTCAACTATAACTGAAAAATAAAAACTTATTTTAAAAAACTTATAATATTACGTGAAATTGTTTTAGAACTTGTAAACAAAACTGAGAATTAATATTTCAAGTAATATTGAGTCATCCTACATATGTTTTGCAGTTTTCTTCATTAAGTTCCAAATTTTATCATTAAAGTTCTTCATGAAATTTTATTTTAGGCTACTTTGGGTTTTTCTTCGTTTAATCAAATCCCACTTGATTATGGCCTATTCCCTATCTACCTTTACTTTTCTATACAGTATCCATCTTGTATTTTTGTTTGCTTTTCTGTTATTGCCATTGGAATGTAAGTCCTAACATGGCAATAACAGTATATTGGTGACCATCTCCCCAGTACTCAACCCAGCTGTAAAAATATTTGCTGAAAGAATACATAAAGAAACATAATGGTATTTATTTTGCATTCAGTAATTTTGTACTCTCATTTTAAATTACTTTATTTTTTATAGTATTCTCATTTTATTTAGGTAGAAAAGCATATTACCTCCAAATAATACTTTCATTTCCCTGTGAGACCTGTTGTTTAAGCTTCAAATGGCTTATTCATGTGGGCAGAACAATTTCTATATAATAAAAGCCTAATATACTAAGTGTCCGGTTGTCTGTTCAACCAATCAAAGTGTAATATGCTAGCCGAAACCAGTTTGGCTCAGTGGATAGAGCGTCGGCCTGCGGACTGAAAGGTCCCAGGTTCGATTCCGGTCAAGGGCATGTACCTGGGTTGCGGGCACATCCCCAGTAGAGGGTGTGCAGGAGGCAGCTGATCGATGTTCCTCTCTCATCGATGTTTCTAACTATCTCTCTCTCTTCCTCTCTGTAAAAAATCAATAAAATATATTTTTAAAAAAAGTGTAATATGCTAATGATATGCTAAGGCTGCTCAACCACTCACTGTGACGTGCACTGACCACCAGGGGGTAGACGCTCCGACCGGTAGGTTAGCTTGCTGCTGGGGTCCAGCTGATCGGGACTGAGTGAAATGGACTGGACACACCCTGGAGCCCTCCCGTGGTCCCTTCCCTGGTGGCCAACCTCCCACGTCCCTTCCTGGCCCTAATCGTGCACCAGTGGGGTCCCTCAGCCTTGCCTGTGCTTTCTCACAATCTGGGACCCTTTGGGAGATGTTGGCCAGGCCGAGGGACCCCACTGGTGCATGAATTCGTGCACTGGGCCTCTAGTCCTATATAATAAAAGCCCAGCGACTGAATGGCAAAACAACCAGAACAACCTGTTGACCAGTTGCTATGACGCACACTGCCAGGGGCAGATGCTCAACGCAGGAGCTGCCCCTTGATGGTCAGTGTGCTCCCACAGTGGGAGCGCCGCTTAGTTGACAAGGATGCTCCCTCAGCAGGCTGATCCCTCAGGCCATGCCCTACACTGGTGAAGGCCTCTAGTATTAAATAACTAGTGACCCGGTACACGGATTCATGTACATTGAAAAATAAATTAATTAGAAAGTGGTTGGCAGGGTGGGACTGGTCAAGATGGGCCGGATACGCCCTGGAGCCAAACTCCCGCAGTCACTCCCTGGCATCTGTGGAGTGAGTGGGGTACCTCCGGAAGGTGAGGTCCCTCGCCCTGGCCTGCGGGGATCAGGCCGAAACCAGCTCTCCAACATCCCCCAAGGGGTCCCAGAGTGCAAGAGGGCACTCTGCAAAGTTGCTATCGTACAGGTGTGCAGTAAACCAGGTGTGCAGTAAACCAGATTCAGGGCCGACAGTGCCCCAGCAACAACATAACCCATGGCTGAAGGTGGAACTACGCGGCCCTGCGAGGGCTCGGGCTCCCTCCTCTCTAGTTTCGGGGTGTGTCACCCAAGAACCGTTGCTGCCAATTCCCTGCAGCTCGGCAGCTCCTGTGTTGAGCGCCTGCCCCCATGATGGTCTGTGTGCATCATAGCAACCGGTGGAACGGTCAGACACTTAGCATATTATTAGCCTTTTATATATATAGAAGACAACAGTAATAATACCATCTTTTTTGTTCCTAATCTATATATATAAAAGCCTAAGCTACCAAACGACCAAGTGATCAACTGGTTGCTATGACGCGCACTGACCACCAGGGGCAGACACTCAGCACAGGGGCTGCCCCCTGGTGGTCAGTGCACTCCCATAGCCAACCTCTGGCGGTCCCCTCCCCTGGTCGGCCGGCCACCCTGATCGGCCCCCATCGCCAGCCAGGCTGAGCGACCCCACCCGTGCACGAATTCGTGCACCAGGCCTCTAGTTTTATTATAAAATCCAAAAACAGAATCTTAATTTTAAAATACAAGGCACTATTTAAAGCATAGCTACTTAAAATCTTGACATTATGATACATTATACAAAAACATAGTAAAAACGATTTACTAAAAACACAAGGTGATTATATTATAGACAAGAATTTCTAATACATTTGTTAGCTTAGAGGTTACAAATAAATCTTGTTATTGAAGTAACTTTTTACCTTATAGCTTTCTGCTCCTTGAATTAGATCTCTCATGGAAGTAGACAACTGATCCTTTTCTGAATGAAGAGATTTGAGTTCTTCCCTTAGAGTCTGGGCCTATTTTAAATATATAATAGAGAGTTTTATGGATAGAAAAGTTGATTTTCTAAAATGTAAGGTTTTTGAATTTTGCATTAAGTCACCTTACCTCTCTCCTGCTAGAATCTAGTTCTTTCTTTGCCTTCACAGCAACTAGTTTTATCTTATTTATTTTTTCCTCTTTCTCTCTGGATTCTTTTTTGAGGTACTCTAAAAACATAAAATGAATGGCTTATATATGAACTCAAAAGGAAAAAAGGAAAAATATCCAAATTTACTTATTTTAGCCCTAGAAAAAGTATTAATACCTATTTTTTAAAAAATATATTTTATTGATTTTTTACAGAGAGGAAGGGAGAGAGATAGTTAGAAACATCGATGAAAGAGAAACATCGATCAGCTGCCTCCTGCACACCTCCTACTGGGGATGTGCCCGCAACCCAGGTACATGCCCTTGATCGGAATCGAACCTCGGACCTTTCAGTCCACAGGCCAACGCTCTATCCACTGAGCCAAACTGGTTTCAGCAATACCTATTTTTTTAAGTGAAAGCTTAAGTATTCATTATCTAAGTGAGGGAAACAATGTAAAAAATTTCCATTTTCTTCAATCCTCCATAATAGTCTATTTTTGTTTTTCAGGAATTTCATAACTGTCTAGGAATTGGAGAGGCTGTTAGGACATCTTTAACCTGAAAAGATTTACTGGAAACACCCGTAGACCAAGATTTTAGGTGATAATTTTCAAACAAGGATCAAGTAGAAGTTATATTGTTATTAAGTTATATAACCAGATGAAGTTATATAGTCATGCTCCCTAAGCATACCCATCTTGGTTGGTCTTATTTTTACAACTAAACCTGTAATGTGTTCTATGTATCCAGTCTTGACCTCTCCCCTTAATTTCTTTTTAAATTTTTATTTTATTTTATCTTATTTTATTTTATTTCAGAGAGGAAGAGAGAGGGAGAGATAGAAACATCAATGATGAGAGAGTATCACTGATCAGCTGCCTCCTGCATACCCCCTATTGGGGATTGAGTCCGCAACCTGGGCATGTGTCTTGACTGGGAATCGAACCGTGACCTCCTGTTCATAGGCTGACACTCAACCGAGCCACATTCGACAGGGCATATTTTACTTTTTGATGGTATCACTGCTTAATTTTAGTTCTATCCCTGCTTATTAATGTAGTTGCACCTGTCTTCAAATACACTGTACAAATACATCTGGCTGCTACTGATGAATCATCTGTGTGTGTGAAACGCAGGACAGTTGTTTCAATTCTGCATTTTGTCCTATATCTTCTCACCTACTCAGGCACCAATGTAGCAATTCTTCTTTATTGTGCAGCATACTTCCTCCTCTATTAGTGTTTCTCCAATTTATAAGCATACAATAAGAAAAATATCAAGAGATTAAGCTCATGAATAATGAATGCAGTTAAAGAGGGTTGCAGTCTTGATAGGATAGATGAAACATCATACACACACAAAAAGGCAAACCACATTTCCTCTGTGGATATTGTTCCCTCTCTTCTTTCTTTTATAGCAGAACTTGTAAGAGTTGTTTATATATGCTCTCAAATTTCTCTTCTTCTATTTGTTTCTTTAACTCACTTCAATCAGGATCTGGCTTTGGCTTATCATGGGAACTATTACTACCAAGTTACCAATGACATCTAGGTTACTTAATCCAATGGTTAGTGCTTAGTACTAATGTTACTTGGCCTATCATAGCATTCACATGGCTAAACATTTTTCCCTCTTGAAACACTTGAACTTCATTTGCCTTAGCTGCCAAGACATTTTATGCTCTGGGTCTTCCTACCTCCTTTCTTTCCTTCTCAACTTTCTTTGCTGTTTCTATCTTTCTGATTTTTAAGTGATAGAGAACTATCTCTGGTCCTCATCCTTTTTCTACACTCATTTGCTTAGTGATCTCAATCACATGGCTTTTAATGCCAATTATTAGGTTGATTACAAATTTTTATCTCTGATTTAGCTTTTTCTCAATTCTGGATTTGCATATTTAGCAGTCTATTTGACATCTCCACTTGCATTGGTCCTTATACTTAATTTATTTAAAACTGAGCTAATGATCTCCCTAACCTGACTTGCCCCAATCATCCATTACAGAAAACTGGGTGTCATTCTAATCTCTTCCAGCTACCCTCTCCCCTTCTCTCTGCCAATTTAAGTGAGCACTAAAATGAGGAATTATGGGCACATTACAAAACACTAAGTATTTGTTTGTCTTTGTTTATTTATATTTTTAAAAATATATTTTTATTGATTTCAAAGAGGAAAGGAGAGGCTGCCTCCTGCACACCTCCTACTGGGGGTCGAGCCCACAACCTGGGCATGTGCCCTTGACTGGAATGGAACCCAGGACACTTCAGTCTCCAGGCCAATGCTCTATCCATTGAGCCCAACCACCCAGTGCTGTTTCTTTGTCTTTAAAAGAGCTATCGCATAATGATGAGAAATAAAGTCCTGACTCCTCTGCAGGTGGCACTGGTGCGGCTGTGCTCAGTCTCCTGCCTCCCCAGGAACTTCTAATATGCTCCTTGATGGTATATATGTTAACATACAAGCTCTTGCTGTTTCCTCTTGCTAAAATACCTTCCTTTGTGGAAAATTTTTCATTCTTCAAGACACAAGAAAAGTAGTTTATATTGTGATGTTTTTCCTAACTTAAAACAGGCAGTTACTTTTAGTACCACCAGCACTGTACCTTGCACACACATCAAACTAATGTAATAACAGCCCCTTGTGGCAGTGAGCTTTTTAAAGACATGACCTGTATCTTAATCACCTTTCTATTACTAGTGCCTAGGTAACTGGGCATTCAAATAGTTTATTTAACCATGGAACCATTTATAAATGAAATCATATCAGTTCTTTATTTGGATTAAACAAAAAGTGACAGTTTTGAAAGGGAAGACAAACAGATGGCAGAGGGGCAAGAAAGGGGATATTAGGAAGAGACAGCTGCTTATTATGATTTAAAGACTTATTAACTGGCTTCTATATTTCCCAACCTACTTTAACCCTAAGGAGAATCTGTATAATTGTGACAACGTATGCAAAACAGTACTTACCTATTTTTTCTTCTAGTTCTTTTACTAAAGGAGGTTGATTATTTTCTACAGAAGGTGATTTCTCAAAGGAATCCTAGATTTTATAGGAAACAAAAAAACAAAAACAGAATCATTTTATTCCTAATGATGAATGCCATCATGTTAAATATAAGAAAATCATTATTAAAGAATCCATACAAAAAGCAATTTGGTGAACAGTATTTTTCTTCCCTTGAGAGACCAGGTAATATTGACCTTAGAAAAGGTAATACATGCCGAAACCGGTTTGGCTCAGTGGATAGAGCGTCGGCTTGCGGACTCAGGGGTCCCAGGTTCGATTCCGGTCAAGGGCATGTACCTTGGTTGCGGGCACATCCCCAGTGGGGAGTGTGCAGGAGGCAGCTGGTCGATGTTTCTCTCTCATCGATGTTTCTAACTCTCTATCTCTCTCCTTTCCTCTCTGTAAAAACTCAATAAAATATATTAAAAAAAAAAAAGGTAATACATACATCACACAAGAATAAAATTCAAATTTTTTCATTCTTAGTGCAGTTTTGCTGTTGACTAAATTATACAATTACACAATATCACATAATCTTATGCAAGATCATAATTCTAAAATGATCCAAAACCAAAAAGTCATCATGAAATATATTTTTCAAAAATTTCCCATTTGAGTTTAAATGCCAAAAATTAAAATTCTGGCTTTGAAGTGTAAAAAAGTTTATATATTTTCTAGAGCTCACAATTTGAACTAAGAATTTATTTAAATTGATAAAATTCAAATTAAAATACCTTTAATATCAACTCTGCTTTCACATCTTGCAATTCAGATTCTTTTTGTTTTACTGCTAGTCTTAGGTTTTCAAGTTCCTTTATAAAAGATTTTTCTTTTTCATTATGGATTTCAAAGTTGCTACACAATTTTTGAGACATTTCTTCAACTTGAATTGAAAGATTCGAATTTTCAAGCCTTGTTCTTTCATTAGCATTTTTCATTTCTAGAAGATCAGACTGCAGGGCCTCTTTTTCTGACCTAGTTTCTTCTAACTCTTTCTTTAAGAGAACTTTCTCTTGTTCATAGTCTCTCAGTAAAGACCTAAGTTCCTCATATTGAACTATATTCTCCTCCTCAAGGCACTTAATATTTTTTTCTAACTCTAATACCTTTTTATCATATTGAAAGAGCAAGTTATGTTTTTCCTCATTTGTTTTAGCTAAGGATTCACCTACAGCTTGTAGAACATTTGTAACATCTTGCTCTTCATTTTCTTCTACTTCCAGCTCCATTTGTTTAAAAAAACCATACAACTGAGTTTTGACAAATAACTTCTGGGCTTGCTCATTTTCAAACAGTTTATTTAAATTATCTCGCTCTTGAACTGTTACCTGAAGTTTCTTTTCTAATTCAGAAATGTGTTCCTTAAGAATAAAATATTCTTCCTTTTGAGACAAGAAAGCTTCCACATCTCTATTCAAATTATTCTTTTCTGAACTTAGCTTACTATTTTCCTCATAAAGAGACTTCACTTCAGATGACAGTTCTTCCTGGTTTTCAGAGAGAGTTTTCAATTGACCCATAAGCTTTTCTAGTTCTTGGCTACTCTGGTCTTTTTCCTTTAAAGTTTCTTCGAGTACTCCTGTCAATTCATTTACCTTTTGTTCTAGTTCACTGTTGTACTGGGTAGTTTGCTGCACTTTTTCCCTAAGTTCTAGAATTAATCTTTCTTCCCTTTCACATTTTATATGGAGATTACCCATCTCTTCATGAGAACTTTTAATTTTACTTATGAAATTATCTTTTTCTTCTGTAAGAGAACTTATCTTTGCTTCAAATTCTTGTAACATGGAATCTCTCTGACTGAGACTAACTAAATATGCGTCATTCTTTTCTTGAAGATTTTTTACGGCCTTTTCAAGTTCTGGTACAAGTTCTTTTTGTGACAATAACTTTTCATTTTCTATTTGGAGATGATTCACAGTTTCAAGAAGAGCATCTTTTTCATTGAAAGCAGTTCTGAGCTTCTGCTGAAGGTCATTAACATCAGATGCTTGTTGTTGCTTCATTGATTCAAATTCTTGACTTATTTTTCCAGCAGATTCTCCTAGTTCTGCTTGTAAAATTTCCATAATCTCTCGCAAACTTTCATAATTTAATACTGCTTCTTGCTTTTCTTGCTGTAGGTTTTCACACTGCTCCTTAAGACACTGTATTTCAAACATTAATGTTAATTTTTCTTTTTCTGAGTCTGACAAAAATGTCTCATGTAGTTCTGATATTTCTTTTTGCTGTTGCTCCTGAAGACTCTGTATTTCTTTGTTATGCTGTTCTGTAATATGGTAAAGTTGTTTATTTGAATCTTCTAGTTCAGATTTTAATTTTTCAATTACACAGCCCTGTTCTTCTTTAACTAGCAATAATTCGTTAATTTTAAATTCTAAATCTTCCCGCTCATGAAAAAATTCATCCTTTATATGTTGGGCATCAATTTCAAGTTTTAATTTAAGATTATTCATATAAATTACCTCATCTTTTAAGATATTATGTTGAGACTCTAGTTCTTTTAAGGTATCTTCTAAGTGTTTGACTTTTTCATTTACTATTTGGTCTACAAAAGTATCTTGTAAGAGCAAAGAAGACATCTGATTTTCTTGGTTTGCATTTGAGGCTTTCCCTAAGTTTTCTAATTCATATTTTTCCTGAATGTCCTCCTCACTTGCCTCCCATTGTTTGACTAAGTTCTCTTTTAGCTGATTAAAATTATTGGCTTCTGCTTCTTGTTCTTTAGCAGATGCTGCATTTTGACACATCAATTCTTTCACTTCTTCTTGATGTGTAGCTTTCAACTGCATAAGTTTTTCTTGCAAACTATCAATATCTTTTTGGTAATGCTGAGAATTAGCCTCAATGACTTTTTGAAGATGAGTAATTTCTTGCTCCTTTTCATTTGTGGCAGCTTCTAATTGATTTTTCAGATATAAAATTTGCTCCTCAAAGGCTGCCCTAATTTTCTGAATCTCTTCTTGCAGGTTTTTAACATTATCTTCAGAGTCACTCTGAAATTTAAGTTGTTCTGAAAACTCTAATTGTTTTTTTTTTTCTTCTTCCAATTCCTTTAGCAATCTAGCTTTATCTTCACTGTGTTTACAATGTACTGCCATTAATTCATTTTTCAAATTTTCCATTTGCTTCATACAGTTCCTTTGTGACTGTTCAAACTCCTTGTGGATATCTTCCATCTTATTTTCAGAATCCTATTATAAAAATAAGTACATAAAAATTATTTTATTAGCCCTGGGCAGATAGCTTAGTTGGCTAGAGTGTTGTCCCAATATGCCAAATGTGAGTTTAATCACTGGTCAGGGCACATAAAAGCAGCAACCAATGAATACATAAATAAGTGGAATCACAAATCAATGTTTCTCTCTCTCTCTCGCTCTTAAAAAAAATCAAGACATCAAAATTAAAAATAATTGTTTAATTAAGACAAAAGAAATCCCTGTCCTCAAGAAAAGTATTAGTCACAGGCTAAGTAGAGAAAACTGGAAATGAACAGGAAAGTACTTAGAAAAATAGGACACTGATATTCCAAGAATTCTACTTAGGGTCTGACTACCTTAAATATGACAATATATATCAACAGTACTAATGCCATTCAGAGTAATAACTAGGAAATTTATGAATTTAATTTTCTTTTATAAGGACAAATTATGTAAGTTGTATTACATCACAAGGCTTTAACAACTATCTCTTGAGTAGATTAATAAAAGACTTTTTGGAAAAATTTGCCCAGACCTAAGAGGTAACTACATATCCTAGAACTGAACAGATAATAGTATTTAGAATATGTGTGAGGTTCGACCTACATAAATACTTTTTCATAAAAAACATACTTTTTTTTCCCACCCCATTTTTATTAAAGAATGACATTAACCCTAGCTGATTTGGTTCAGTGGATAGAGCATCAGCCTGCAGACTGAAGGGTCCTAGGTTTGATTCTGGTCAAGGGCACATGCCCGGGTTGCGGGCTCAATCCCCAGTATGGGGCATGCAGGAGGCAGATAATCAATGATTCTCTCTCATCACTGATGTTTCTCTCTCTCTCCCTCTCCCTTCTTCTCTGAAATCAAAAAGGAAAAAAAGAAAAAGAATGCAACAAAGAAATGTTAGCTCTATCTCTTGTAGTTGAGTAATTTCAGTTATTTTTCTTTTTAAATATCAATTTATTTTGTTTGTAAACTGTTAAAGTCATATCAGATGCTTTTTAAGATCTTAAGTCTAAAATTCATTACCACACTATATAAGTTAATAAAAAAATTAAAATATTGCCTTACCTCAACCTGTTGCTTCATTTTAATATTTTCCTTCTTCAGAGAAAAACACTGTTGCTCAGTCTCTGCTTTTTCCAGAAGAACAGCATCCAGATGTTCAGACAATGCCTGTTTGAAACAGGATTTGTTTGCCCGAGGTTAAATATAATGGATTGATCCATGCATAAGTTATCTCCTCACCTTTTCCAAACCACACTAAAATAAGAATGAAAGATTTTAAAAGGAACATAAATAAGAACAAAGAGAAAAGAAGAAAGGACATGAGGATATGAGAAATTTCAACATATTTTTGGAAAACTGAAAGTGGAAGAGGAGTAACTGAATTAGAGAGAGGAAGAAAGCTATAAGCTAAGGGCCTTCACAGAGAAACACTTGTGAGAAACTAGAAATACTTTAGAGAAGTAAATGCTCAGGAACTGGAGGCAACAGATATTGTTGAAGGTACGATGTATATTGCATTCAAAAATTGGGGATTGGGTGATAGTATGAATAAGGAGTGGTTAGAATAATAGGCAAGAAATCTACCCATGTCCTGTCTCCCTCAGAGACAGGGTTATTTTATTTTTAAAGATATATTTCGTTTCTTTCTTTTAAAAACTGATTTCAGAGAGGAAGGGAGAGGGAGGGAGAGAGAGATAGAAACATGAATGATGAGAGAGAATTAAGATTTGCTTTGACAAGGGGCAAAATCTGGTTAGGAAACGCAGATGCGTGAAATCCTAGAGAAGCCACTAAGGCAGTGGTTCTCAACCTTTTGGCCCTTTAAATACAGTTCCTCATGTTGTGACCCAACCATAAAATTATTTGCGTTGCTACTTCATAACTGTAATGTTGCTACTGTTATGAATCGTAATGTAAATATCTGATATGCAGGATGGTCTTAGGCAACCCCTGTGAAAGGGTCGTTCGACCACCAAAGGGGTTGCGACCCACAGGTTGAGAACCACTGCACTAGGAAAAGATAAGACCTGCCCCTAGGCCATCAGCCGTCTCCCACACACCCTGCACTGGGGACCGAGCCTGCAATCCAGGCATGTGCCCCTGACCGAAATCGAACCCGCGACCCTTCAGTCTGCAGGCCAACACTCTATCCACTGAACCAAACTGGCTAGGGCAGAGACAGGTTTATTCTCTACAGAAATTAAATGGTGTGGAAATTGATAAAATCAAAAACAGTTCAACAATTACAGAGTTAGCTAACAAAGCAACAACCTTTAGTAAGACTGATCAAAAAGAAGTCTGAAGCAACAAACAATATAATGAAAAAAGGGGGAGAAATATCTACATATAAATCAGAGATTAAACAGAGTATGTAATATGAACAATTATTTGGCAATAAATTGAAAACTGGAATGAAATGAATAGAAATTCCTAGAAAAATGTAGCTTTATTAACTCAAGTTTAATTAACACCACTCTATCTACTTAAAAATCAAACCAGCTATTTAAAATTGTCCACCGAAGAAAACAGGAGAAATAGATAGCTTTACTGGTGAGTTCTATCAAATTTTAAAAGAACAGATTATACCAATTACATATGAGCTTGTTCAGACAAAATGAAAAACAAGAAGAATTCCCAAGTTATTCTATAAAACTGGCATAACTTGATACCGATATCCAAGGACTTCACAGGAAAAGCACAAACCCATTTCACCAAAATATAAAGTTAATCCTTAATGTTAAAATCATAAGTACACTTCATCACCCATCATCCTTGAATTGCCTACCTCTGGACTTATATCCTATATAATAAAGAGGCAATATGCAAATTGACCCTCACGCCATCACAAGATGGCTGCGCCCACAGCAGAGGCGGGGTTCCCGTAATGAGCAATCAGCAGGGACCTGAGGCTGCGTGGCACCAGGGCAGGCGACCTGAGGCTGCACCCTTCGTATGGTGGGACTTGATGGGGGACCTCAGGCTGCGCCATCCGTCCTGGGCGAGGGGACCTGAGGCCGCGCCCCCCCGCCAGGCTGGGGGACCTGAGGCTGCATCCCTCACTTAGCAGGGCTTGACGAGGGCCCTGAGGCTGCATCCCCCGCCTGGCGGGGCTTGATGGGGGACCTGAGGCTGCGCTCCCTGCCTGGCGGGGCTTGATGAGAGTGAGGCTGGCCGAGTCTGGATTTCGTCCAATGGAGGTGAGGCCGGTTGGGTCTGGGTCTCGTGCAGTTTCGAGGTGCACGCGGGGGAGACTTGACTCTGGGTCCCGCAGCATACCCCAGACTCTGACAGGAGGAAGATTTTCATATACATTTTACTAATTTTCTTTCGGTTCTGACACTTCTATTATAGAGAAAGGGAAAATAGCAATATTAAAATATTTCCTCTAATTAATTCCCTTTTAATGTGCATGAATTTCACGCACCAGGCTACTACTGAAATAATAAAGAAAAACTGTTATTTAAAAAAACACAGATGTAGGAAGTTTAGACTTCTATGTCAAGTTATAGCTATTATTCAAACACCAGAGGCCCGGTGCATGAAATTCCTGACCGGGGGTGGGGGGGTTCCCTCAGTCCAGCCTGCAACAATGCCAGCATCCCTCATCCCGGCCTCTGGCCCAAGGACCCTTCCCTCCTCTCCCTCCACGTGGCTGGGGCACGGATGCTGGGCTTGTGTTGCCGGGGCGAAGCTGCCAGTATCCTGCCCCAGCCACAATGGGCGCTGCCGTCTTTGTCATGGAGTGATGGCTAATTTACATATTACTCTTTTATTAGATAGGATGAGAGCAGAATAAATCCATTTGAATACATAAGATGACAAAAATTTTCCTCCCATGCATCCGTTCTTAGGAAGCTATAGACGGACATGCTATACCAAATGAGGGTTAACCAAGAAGGTGAAGACATGTGACCTAGAAACAGAAGGGCCAACATAGGAAAGCAGTGTAGAAATTCACAGAATTATGGCAAGAGGCCAAGTCCAGGAAAGCTGTGCAGCAATACTAGAGAACCATCAGATCAAATTAGTGCAGGAGAGTACTAATTTGACCATTTGGAAAACAGAAGTCATTGTAAAAGACAGCTAAATTTTTGCCAAACCTTTACTTTCTGGGACTTGTGTGGTTAGGATAACATGGGTTAATTGTTAAACTAATAACCTGCCCTAACCAGTTTGGCTCAATGGATAGAGCGTCAGCCTGCGGACTCAAGGGTCGCAGCTTCGATTCCAGTCAAGGGCATGTACCTTGGTTGCGGGCACATCCCCAGTAGGGAGTATGCAGGAGGCAGCTGATCGATGTTTCTCTCTCATCGATGTTTCTAACTCTCTATCCCTCTCCCTCTCTGTAAAAAATCAATAAAATATAAAAACAAAACAAAACAAAAAACTAATAGCCTAAAAGGTAATGTTGGGCCCTAACTAGTTTGGCTCAGTGGATAGAGCGTCAGCCTGTGGACTGAAGGGTCCCAGGTTCGATTCCGGTCAAGGGCATGTACCTTGGTTGCGGGCACATCTCCAGTAGGTGGTGTGCAGGAGGCAGTTGATCGATGTTTCTCTCTCATCAATGTTTCTAACTCTCTATCCCTCTCTCTTTCTTTCTGTAAAAAATCGATAAAATATATTTAACAACAACAAAAATGTTTCCTGCAAAAAAATAAAATAAAAGGCAATGTTGGCTAACTTAGAAAAATTTTCTAATCTCATCTCTAGGAACAGTTTTGACAGAATAGGAGAATACATTGATTGGTGATAAGGAACAAATAAGGGGCAGATATTTAGGTATTCTAAAATGCAATTTTATAAAAGGTATTTTAAGAGCTAAGAGTTAAATGATACAAATTAGAAGAGAATCTTTGTGGTTTTCTTTTCAAATACAAAAGCCTCCTTCTGGTGTGCACGCATAAATGTGCATAAAACATTCCCACAAATACATAGTAATAGTGATAATGAGCCCTAGCCAGTTTGGCTCAGTGGATAGAGCGTTGGCCTGTGTACTGAAGGGTCCCAGGTTTGATTCCAGTCAAGGGCACATGCCTGGGTTGCGGGCTCGATCCCCAGTAGGGGATGTGCAAGAGGTAGCCAATTAATGATTCTCTGTCATCATGATGTTTCTCTCTCTCTGTTTCCCTCTCCCTTCCTCTCTGAAATCAATAAAAATATTTTAAAAAATATAAAGTAATAATGATAATGAATAATTATCAAGTACTTATTTGACAGACCCAGTTCTAAGTGCTATACATTTATTTACTCATAATACTCTAAACAACCCTATAAAAAATAGGTATTATTATCTCTAGTCTACAGTTGAAGGAACTGAGTCACCAAGAATGAAGAAACTTAGCCATGGTCACACAGTTGGTAAGTGGCAGAGCAGGCAGGGACCTGAAGATCTGACAGACAGTCTGGCTCCAGACTGCACTCTTAAATACCATGTAGTTGTACGTTGGCCAGAACTGATTAAGAAAATAACATAATGACCAGATAAACAAAGAAAACTACTATGAATTCAGTAATGTTTAAATAAATCAGTTCATTATAAATCCAAGTGGTATTTGTGCATGCCATTCACTATATACTATTTTAGCTGAATAAAGAACAAAAGTATATTGCATGAGATGCATAGGGATTTAAGACCTCCTGTAGTAACTTTCTGGAAGTCATTCTTTCTTTCTTTTTTTTTTTTTTTGAAGTGAACATATCATGATTTTATTGTCATATAATCAAACAAAATATGAAGCTTAGAACTGGATCACTTGACCCTTTCTCTTATCTCCTCCCAATTCAAAATGCTTGCATCTCTTAATAGCCAGCATTCTCTTAGATCAGCAGTTGGGCTCAACTCATTCAAGCCTCAGCACAATCTTCTTTGTAGTTTTAGCCTTTTTTTCGGAAAATCGGCTTAGTCTGCCCACCATACCCACTTTCCTTCCTGTCATAACGACGCTTTCCCTGTGCATACAGAGAATCTCTGCCCTTCTTGTACTGTGTTAACTTTATGGGGTTGATGCTTGCCACACTTCTTACAGAAGGTTCGGTGGTTTCAGAAACATTCACCATTTCTGCGAGAGCTATCAGCAGGGAAAGCTTTGGGAGTCTTTCAATTGCTCACTGCTCACAAGTTTAGAGCCATCTAATAAGAGTGTAAGATAACATATAATAAAAGAATAGATAGCAAAACTCAAATTATAAATATGGAAAAGCAAGGAAAAAATGATTGCAGAACTTTGAGAAGCGAAACTTTCAAAAGGTTAGGCCAATTGGGAGAAGGAAAAAGTATTTAGTTATTAGGGTTAATGGCAGGTGATAAGCAACTCAGGTTCTTAAGCAGAACAACAAGGTAAAAATAACATTCTGTGATCTGGTAATTGGATATAGCAGTAAAAAGAGAAAGAGAGCCTAGTTAGGGGTTATTAAAATTAAGTCACATATGACATGGAGAGGAGGAGGGGGAACTACTGCGTTATCTTGAAGGAAAAAAAAAATACTTCTCTGATGACTGACACACACAGAGTTAGAGACAGGAGAGCTGAGGAGTCTCTAATGTTAAAGGCCTCAAAAACGGTGCTGTCCCTGGTTGTCCAGAGAAGAGGATAGTCATGTTGAAGAGCAGACTCGAGAAATGAGCAAAAATTTTCCCCCCAATAGCTAGAAATTCACCTGTGAGATATGCGTCAGTAGTCAAGTCCAGGGATACCTATCTACTGTAGGTTAAATGTATATATAAATGATCAGCCCCCAAATCGTCATCAGTGTCCTGGGCTTTCTGAGGGGAAGAGGGAAGAGCAGGGCTGAGACTGAGGCAACAACCATAGTTACAGTGTGTTTGATGAAAAGGAGAGGGAATAATACTTATTTCAGAACAAAAGGAGCCAGAGCTCATTTACCCTCTCTTTTTACAGTCAGCCAGGGTGATTCAAACTTATCTAAGGGCAGAGAGGAAGTGGAGAAACAGGGGCAGAAAGCTAGAGAGTGCTCCAGGAGGCTGACGGCCCCCACGGAAATCTGATAGGTCATTAGACATTTCCTCTAAGTAAATAAATCAAAATAAAAGCAATATTCACAACTGTTTCATCACCTTAATAACTTCATCAGTTCCTCCAGCACCAGGTTTTGATTTGAGTTCTTCAATTTCTTTCTCTAATTCTAAACAATTATTTAAAAAAAAAAGATTCCAGTTCAGAAATAAAAAATAACTGGCTAAAGGAATAAGTACATTCTTAAAAAAAAATCACTATAAATAAGAATACATTTTAGAAGCAGCAAATAATTTAAGAAAATATTAACCCATTATTACCTGTTATTTTCCTTTTTATTATGAAAAACTCCAAATATATAAAAGTAAAGAGAATAGACTGATTATTCGTCATGTGCCCATCACCTTGATTTGGCAATTATTACATAGCCAATCTTTTTTCATTCTGACCTGCATTCACTTTCTCCTTTCTATCAAATTTTTGAAGCAAATCCCAGACATTATGTTATTTCAGCTGTAAACAACTTCTTACTGTAGAATCTTAAAGCAACAACTAACCTCATATTAAACATACATGTTAATCTATTTCATCAACTCATGTCTAGGTCTGGGGCCTAGAACACCTTTCCAAATAAATTACTCTCTCTATCACAAATTGATCCAACCTCCCAAAACACAATTTGACCTTTCCTAACAGAAAATAAATCTTGGCTTTTAGGCTGGGCAGTTAACATTTGTTAAGTCACTGAAAATTTAAGCACTAACCCACACATACTAAAAAGGATATTAATTTATTCATCCTTTCAGAATATAAAGAAAGGCAAACTAAATCAGGACTCAATCAACTTTAGCAAATAAATATAATTCAAAATTCCAGAAGTGGAAATCTTTTATTACTTTACTTAGGCCTTGTTTTACTTCTTTGGCTCACAACCTTGTATCTCTAACATTTCAACTGACTACTCTAGAAAAAATGCTTGACTCAGAAGAATATACAATCTAAATTAAGTTAAAAAAAGGTACTTAATTCAACAAATTGTTTTAAATATCTTCATTTTAATAATTCAAAGGAACAGCAGTTTAGAGATGTGAGGTTAAAAAAATAATCAGAGGCAAATAGTTAGAATGTTAAATAACAGATTCCATTATACTGTCTAAGATTTTACTGGATTCATTAGTAAACAAAACAAACAAATGTACTATTAAAAAACTAATTTTTAACTATGATTAAATAATATTGTGATTAAGATAAACAGTTTCAACCCAATACCTGTGCATCTTGAATTAGCTTTCTGTATTAGCATCATTTGTTTCTTGGCAAACTTGATAAGATCTTCCTTGGGCAATGTTTCCAGCTGAAAGATGTAGTGACATTACCAATTTGTTATAACTCACGTTTCTACTATACTGCAAAAGAACATCACATCTCTCCAAAAATGAAAATCCTACTGTATGTCAACCAAACACTACATTTTTAAAAATGAGCAAATGCAACTTCAATTATTAGTTAATCAACTACGAGGAAATGTAAAAATAGCTCAGGTCTTACAAATATTGCTGAAAGAGATGAAGACACTTTCTCGGTTTTGATTTCTTTAATTGTAAAATTAGGGGACTGAGACTAATCCTACTTAAAGTTCTTTAGAGCTGTAAAAGTGTTTCATTCTATCCAAGACAAGTCTTTGGCTATATGAAAACATGTAAGCATAATTCTTATAGCAATAAGATGAATCATGTTGCATTATGGCTTTAACTAAAACTCAGGGAAAATTACTTGTGGGCTCATCTGTAAAACTGGGGAACAATGGTAGTTATCTCATGGTTACCATGAAGCTGAAATGAAGGAGTGTTTAGGCAAGTGCCTGAAACTTAGCATGCAAGTGATAAACCGCTATCCTTGAGAATCATTGAAGGGTAATCGGCTGTACAGGGCCATGAAAATTACACAATTGAACTCTCTTCCCATCATAGGAGAAGCCTACAGAACAGAATCCTTGACTCTTATCTACCCATGTCTGCTCTTTCCACTACACTATATGAATCGTCATAAATTAGACTGCTTTGTTTATATCTGAAAAATTGCAGAATTCTCAGCTGTGCTAACCAGGCACAGGAAGTCAACAAAAAATCAACTTTTTTCATACCAGTAAACTTAAAAAGGGAACAGGTGGGTGACTGTGTAAATTAAAATGGAAAGCCCTTGGAGAAAGGCTATTTCTTTTGAACCCCCACCCCCACCCCCGCCCTCAATGCCACAGTTTTCCAATTTATCAGCCTTCTACTCTCCAGGGAGCCTGCTAGTCAAGTATTCTCTTCACCTTCGATTTCCCGGCTCCCGGCGTGGCTGGGGAAGCCACTCCATGTTGGACAGGATCCTGCAAAACAATCAAACCCAGGTGGTCAGAACTGTTTTCCTAATCTGGAACAGAACGCGGAACCTTGAGAGGTAAAAACCCTTCCGTGGGATCAGGTGCAGGAAACCTTTACCGTGAGAAAGACCTGGGGAAGGAGGGGTCTGTCGCTGGGGCTGATCGTAGCAATCGTGTAGGAGCGGCTCTAATGGGCCTGGGACAGCGAGGGGCGGATTCGGGGACGGTGGGAGCGACTGCGGGGAGCTACTGAGCCCTCATCCCGGGCCTACCCCCGCGTCCAACCCGGGGCCGCAAGGCTCGGCGAGAAGGCGGTGAGCCCCAACCCAAGTGCGCCGCTCAGGGCTCGGGCCGCGTTACCTCCATGGCGGCTCGCCCGCCGCGGCCCCTGCAACCACACAGTCCCCAGCCCGCAGCTCCGGTGCCGACTGGAACTTGCGTCTGCGCCGGCCTCTGACGTGGCCCGATGGCAGGTCAAAGGTGGCGCGCCTCCAGCTGCCCCACCCCACGCGTCTCCATGGCTGCGCCCCGGGCGCTTCCGCTTCCGCTCCTGCGGCGGCTAGCTTCTCCTGACGCCAGCCCCGCGCCTCGGGGGCACCTCCCGGGGACTGCAGACCTAGAGAGGATCCCCTGAGAGCCCAGTTACAGGGGTGAAGCAGGGGGCCGAGCTACATGGCCAGTGAGTCAGTAAATTCCCTATATTTACTAGTAGTGAGCTAATTAGCATAGGGATTTACTGTTACTTGTGTGGAGGAAAAGGGTTCCACATGCTAGTCTGATTAACTCAAGGAAAAGCCTGCATGGCGGCCTTGCAAACTCAGACCTAAAGTAACCACAAAGGATGGTCTGAAATTAAAACCTTTTGTTAAAAGCAGTTTATAGTGGGTAGTCATGTCCTTGGCCAGTGTCTTCCCTGACAAAGATCAACTTCGATCTTTATTGAGGCTATTGGCTTTTTGCATCTGAGATAACAAACCTGTGGGATGCCAGGGTAACTTGTAAATTCCCTTTTCCCAGACCCCTCAGGGCACAACAAATGGTGCCAGGGCACAGACCACAAATTCCCTCATTGTTATTGTTATCTGTTAATTGTTGCCTGTTTCCCACCTATGTAAAAAAAGCATGTATTTATCATTTTACTTTTAAAAAAATATATATTTTTATTGATTTCAGAAGGGAAGGGAAAGGGAGAGAGAGAAACATCAATGATGAGAGAAAATCATTGATAGGCTCCCTCCTGCACACCCCCTATTTTGCATTGAGCCCGAAACCAGGGCATATGTCCTGACTGGAATCAAAGCACAACCTCCTGGTACATAAGTTGACACTCAAGCACTGAGCGACACTGGGCTTTTGCCCACTTTTAAATAGGATTATTTGTCTTATTGGTGTTGAATTTTATAAGTTGTTTATATATATACTAGAGGCCTGATGCACAAATATTTGTTCACTGGGGCGGGGGGGGGAGGGGGAGGGTCCCTCAGCCCGGCCTGTGCCCTCACGCAGTCTGGGACCCCTCAGGAGATAACGACCTGCTGGCTTAGGCCTGCTCCCCGGTGGCAGAGGGCAGGCCTAATCCCTAGGTGCAGCCCCTGGTCGGGCTCA